AATTTGGGTGGAGTATAGAAGGAGAGGGGGTACGACAGAGACAAATCATGCACCGCTACCCTTCACAAGTAGCCGGCGTCTCTTACTCCATCAGTGAGTTTATCTCCTAAAGTTCAGTGTCCTTCACAGTCACACACTTGTGCTCCCCTCCACACAATCACAAACAGTCCCTGATAAAACAAACTGCAGCACCATGACTCAGTTCCTGCTGCAGCCGGTGGACAGCAAGCGCTACGAGTGAGTCCTGCAGGCTCAACACAGCTAGTTGTGCCGGCACCCGGGCCACAGCAGAGGCAGCGTGAACGTCAGCCTCTCTTTGTTATGCTTTCTCAGCAGCCGTCCAAGTCTACTGGACAGCATGTTTTTAAATGTGAAGTAATCCATAGTGTCCTCCGCATGCGTACACCAGGAAGCCCAAGATGCTTTTTCTCAGCTCCTCGACCTCACTGAGCTCAGGTACAAGTGCCTCAGAGGCACAGACAGGAAAACAAAAACAAAGTCCTGCTCTGGTGTTTGTTTTTTGCTCTCCACCAACACCACGGTGCAACTTTGCTTTAGCAGTTGTAGCCAAGAACAATGAGAGGACAATAGTTTAGATGTTGCACGTGTATTATTCAGGCAGAAACTGGTGCTGTTCTTTAAAATTGTAGCACTCTGCCAATTTATTCTGAATGACTTTACCCCATGTATGGATTCAGGTGTTTTCTTTTTCTGTCTCTCTAGTTTTAGGCAAGAATGCTGACTTTGGTTTTACATCCTTCAGGGAGACACGGTCCAATCTGGCATTAATCTTTATAAAAATATTAGGAATTGCTCTTTTAATAGGGCTTAAGACTCTCAGATCGCTATTAGTTAAAGCGTACTCTTGGGTTAAGAAGAGATTTATGTTTAAAGAAATAATTAAAGGCAGCCTCTTAATTGACTTGTTCTGTGGCCAATATGACATATATTAACTGACCTTATAGTCCTCTTCATAAATCACTGAGCCCGATAATTTTACATTTAGATCACTTGGAGCTGAACTAATCAGTAATCTCATTTGAGTGGATTGTTTGCAGTTTTGAGACGAGCAGGTCTGCAAAGACGGCGCTCGTGTCCGCGCCACCGCTCGAACTGACTTGACAATATACTGCATATTGCAAGGTTAATTAAGGTTAATTAATCCAATTTGGAGAATATGTATGGATAAATCTGAGACAGTATATCAAGCCTCTTAATGTATTAATTCGCTGTCTGTCTTTTATTCGGTTCGGTAGCTAAAATCACATTTATGAATGATCTCTGACCTCAAACTGAATATTAAAAAAAAAAACAAGAAGTGGAATAAAGGAAGAAGAAGAAGAAGCTGTTTAATTTAATTATGCTGCCAATTAACCTCTAAATATACGAGTAGATCCGTGTTTTCTTTGTACTTATTACACGTATCTGTATTTAAGTAGTTCCCTTAGGAATATATGTAGCACTCTTCAAACTGAGTTGCCAGTGCAGACACTTAGTCTTTATGCAACGTGTGAATTACATTTACTGAGCTCTGTACATCATTAATGGAGCCAATTTCAAATGAACTGGTTCTTCTATAGCGCTTTTCTACTCTGTCTGAGCGCTCATTCATGCAGGCACCATTATCTAACAATCATACTCCGATGGAGCAGCTTGGGGTTCGTATCCTGCCCAGACTGGAGGGAATGAACCACCAACCTTCCGATTAGCAGATGATTTGCTCTGCATAAATCATCAGCAAATGTCAGATGTGGTTCTGACCTGCTATTGTTTCCATCAGCCGTCAAAGGAAAATACTTCAGTTTAACAGTACTTGTGGTGTCAAAGGCCTACTAGGAATAGCTTTGTGTGGTTCGGTGGTGGTAGGTTTGATGAATGAAAGGTAACCTGATTACCACCAGAGCTATTAAAATCCCTCATGTGCGACCTGCCACGGCAACCCTCTCCGCTTAGCAGCGAGGCTTCAGATTGCTGTCTGGCTCATATTAGTGTGGGTGTGTGTCTTTATTGATTTCAGTGCTTAGTTATAGTTCTTTTTTTTCATCATGTATTCAGCTCAAGCTTAACTTAGATTCATTATTTGCAACATACAATTACCAGTGCAGGTTACAGGGAGCAATAATGGGCCTCATTCTTTTCATTTCCCCCTTATCTTAAGTGGGTCCCCTCAAGTATGCAAAAGAAATAAATCCAGCAAAAAGAAATTGAGCAACACACACACACACACACACACACACACACACGGGTGAGTGCTTCCTTCCATCGACCTATCTGTGTGTGATTAACAGGGGTGTGTCAAAAGAAGTGACATAAGGTGGCCCTCACCCCCCTTACCCACCATCACCCCCATCCACACACACACTCACAAAAGCAGCCAAATAACTGAATGCAGTTCCCTTCCTTTGAGCAAAGGCACAATCTCTTCTGAACATTTAAAGCAAACATATATTTAAAACTATTCTGCCTTTCCGATACTTCCTGTCCTTGTTAGTTTTTAAAAAAAAGTCCTAAGATCTTTGAGTTTGCATCCAAAACGTGTTCATAGTGCTGCAAACTTTGTCCGTTGTACTCACAAGACAATGCTTTTACCCAGTTGAAGGGGAGGCGTTGGAAAGTCATGCTAATGCTCAGTCCTCAAAGGGTTTTTCTTCTAAAATTCATCACAAGTTTTCATCCAGATTCTACTTTTTAATTTTTATTTCTAATTAATCACTGAGGGAGTTTGTCAGGTTTTTAACAATAATAAATGAGAAATTTAATTCATTTGTCCTTTTAGTCATATCAAAGCATTTACACTTCCTATGACGACTTTGTATGATGTATAATAGTCAGGTACAACGTATCTCTCCTGTACTGATTTATGCTGTGCTTTTTTTAAATCACTCATTGCTGTCTTCCTCCACCAAAACCCCCGTACTTGTGGCACCATCTCTGTGAATTTGGATATCGGCAGCACAGGCGCACGTGGGGGGGGGAGGTGGGGTGATTTGGCTTGAGGCAAAGCCAAAGGCTGTTTACTGCCAAAAATGTTCAGTTTGTTGCTGCTGAAGGTTCAGACAGTCTTTAAAGGTTTTTTCTGACTTACTCAAAATGTTCCGTGCGTCGTGTTTTTGTATATCATTTGCTTGGGACGGGGCTTCAGGTTTTTTGCACCAGCGTCTGACACGCTGTGAGTTTGAACTCTGGCCCTCAGAGTTTACAAGTACTCTATTTGACAGGATAAAGCATCCGTTTCTTCCCACAGTCTGAAGAAATATAGGCCATGAACTCTCTGGCGCTATGTGAGTATGTGCTGTGTTTATGTCTGCGAGCTCTGTAATAAACAGGCAACCTGTTGTGAGCGTTTTCCCCACCTGCTGCTTTAGGTTGCGCACAATGTGACCTTGAAAAGAAGTAAGAAAAACAGTAATTTGTTCATGACAGCACCTTCATGTGTATGCTAATAAAATGTAACAGCCTCCAGCTTGTGGAATATTTTACTTACTGCTGTTTTCTTGTTTTGTTTTTTTCTATTTTGCAGACTTGGAAAACTTCAAGACTCAGAGAAGAAGCTCTGTTTCAGTGCGTGAAGGTCAAGGAGTGGTTCTGCTCTGCGGCCCTCCTCCTCATTCTGGAGGTAAAAATAATAAGTTCTCGGGCTTTTTCTTTTTCTTTCAGTTGACTAGCAATCATGTGTCTGTTTCACAGTGAAAATTGGAAGTTATCTCACTGTGCAAAGTAACGATGACTGAAGCGCTTTCAGACGGAGCTCTTTGAGATATACCTGTTTAACAGCGGCTTTCGCTAGGTAATCAACACCTTAAACCTGACGCTGTGGGGATGGAAAAATTTCAAAGCGATTCGTGCCTCGTGTAGGTGCGATCACTCTCAGCTGGGTCATGGGAAGTGGGACAGCCTCTCTGTTAGGAGCCTAAAGCTGAATGCGCTTTGATGAGAGGGTTATTTTTTGACTTCATTTCCATGGCAGTTAAAAGAAACTATTGCGCAGCTCTATTTATTCAGCGACGTTTGCTCTCAAGCTCAAGGCAACGATACTCTGAATTTTATAAGGTGTGAGAAGGTAGCATACAAATGATTTTGCTTTCTTGCTGAAAGCCAGATGAGAAGACCATGCCAGACTGTGCAGTAGGTAAGCTTAGGCTGCCTTCTGAGTTCAGGTGGGTTCATTTAGATGCACCGATCTTGCTCAAGCAGCGACAAGATCATTCATATGGTTAGTTCAAACTGAGAGAAGAGTGTCA